TGTGTCAAGCAGAAAGTCTCAAGGGAAGTTCTTTGGAAAATGCATTGACCTGAAAAGAACTGAAAATACAGCATCTCAAAATAGCTGAGACACAGCCAAAGCAGTTATAAAGCTAAATTTATAGCACTAAACACATACTTAGAAAAGAGGAAAAGTCTCTGATAAACCATTTAAACTCCCAACTCAAGGACCTAGAGAAACAATAGCAAATTAAACATGAAATAAGTAAATTGAGGGAAATAATAAAAAGCTGAAATCAGTGAAATTGAAAATAAAACAATGGAGAAAATCAATAAAACAGCTGATTCTTCAAAAAGATTAATGAAATTGAGGAATCTATAGCAAAACTGACTAAAAGAATTAGAAGAGATGCAAGTTACCAAGGTTAAGAATTAAACAAGGAACCACCTCAGATCTTGAAGACTGAAAAAGATAATAAGAGAATGCTGCCAACAAGTCTGCACACATAAATTTGACAACTTAGATGAAATGGACCATTTTCTTAAGAAGTATGAACTACCATAACTCATCCAATAGGGAATAGAGCATATAAATAGCCATGTAACTATTAAGGAAAATGAATTTATAATTTAAAAACTCATGAAAAAGAAATCTCCAGGTCCAGATGGTTTCACTGGAGAACTGTTCAAAGAAGAATTAAATTTCTACACAATCTCTTTCTAAAAATAGAAGTGGAGGAACACTTTTCAATAATGTTTATGAACCTAATATTAACCTTATTACCAAAAAACAAACAAGGACAGTCAAAGAAGAAAGAGAACTGCACAGCAGTACCCTCATGAATATAGATGGAAAAGTCTGTAACAAAATAGTAGCTTATAGCATTCAGGAATTTATAAAAAGAATTATACACTATGACCAAGTGGGAATTATTCCAAATATGCAAGAACTATTTTAATACTTGAAATTTTAATCAATGTAATCCACTATATTGAGACTAAAGAAGAAAAATCACATGATCATAACTGTCAATGCAGTAAAAGCTTTTGACAAAATTTAGCACTTGTTCATGATAAAAATTCTCAGAAAAATGAGAATAGAGGGTAATTTTCTTGACCTAATAAAGAGCATCTACAAAAATCCTACAGCTAACATTATATCAATGGTGAAAGACAAAATATTTTTCCTGCAAGACTGGAAATAAACCAAAGATATTAGTTCTCACCACTCTTATTCAACATCATGCTGAAAGTTTGAGCCAGGATAATGTGTCAGTAAAAGGAAATAAAAGACATATGGATTGAAAAGGAAGGAATAGAATTGTCTTCTTCTTTGTAGATTATATGATTATATAGAAAATTACAAGAAATATACAAAAAAATCCTAGAGTAAATGACTTCAGCAAGATTGCAAAATAAAAAATAAACATACAAATATCAACCATGTATCTTTTAGTAGCAATGAACATGTAGATAATGAAATTCAAAATAAAATATTCATATTTACTTAAAACAACAACTTTGGTATAAATTTAACAAAACATGAACATGATTTTATACGTTGTAAAGTGCAAAATGCTGATGAAAGAAATTAAAATCTATATAAATGGAGAGATATACCCTATTCATGGATTGGAAGACTCAGAATTGGTACAGTAACTATGTCAGTTCTCCCCAGGTGGGTATACAGGTTTAATGCAAATCCTGTCAAAATCTCAGTGAGATTTTTTCTTAGTATGGACAAGTTTATTCTAAAGGTTATATAGAAAGGCAAAGGAACTAGAGTATAGAATAGCTAAAACAATTTTGTAAAAAAGTAAAGTCAGAATAATCAATCAAGACATTATATAGCCATAGTAAGGCTGTGTGGTATTGATGAATAAATAGATACATAGACAAGTGGAACCCAGAAACAGACCCACAAATGTGTCCAACTTATTTTCAACAAAGATGCAAAAACAAC